ATTACTTTACACTAAACTCTAGATATATAACAAAACACTTAATAATTGCTCCTTGGGAAGACTGTTGGTTTTGTCGTCCCTCGGGACCAGTAATTAAGAGCAGTTTGCTGTAAGGATCGACTAAGATCATGCAAGATAGAAAAAAAACCGATTTTCCCAAACTTTGCCAGAATAAAGGCCTAGGTGAACTAGTTCTAAAAATAAAATAAAAAATTCAGGTCGTTTAGACTTTTATTTACTTTTTGCAAATGTTTTTTGTATTTTGTGCAAGAGGCGGCCTAAATTGATGCCGAAATCGGGCATTTTTCGGAAGCACCCGCTTCGCGACAGAGCTCACCTAAAGCGCTTTCACTTTTTAAACGGGAGCTTCCGAAAAATGCCCGATTTCGGCATCAATTTAGGTCGCCACGAGCGCAAAATACAAAAAACATTTGCAAAAAAATAAATAAAAATCTAAAGGACCTGAAACTTATATTTTTAGAACTAGTTCACCTAGGCCTTTATTCTGGCAAAGTTTGGAAAAATCGTTATTTTCTATCTTGCATGACCTTAGTTGACCCTTACAGCAAACTGCTCTAAAGTGTATAATGTTACATTTTTCCATATCCAAATCGAGGGCTTAAAATAACAACAATTATTTTATTCGGTTATTTATTCGCTTTGGTGAAATGCTTATTGGTAAATTTCTTTAAAGTTTGTTGTGTCGAATAGATAATTAGTATTTTATGGGAGCTCCGATTTTTGGTTTGGCTAAATCTATTTAGTAGAATTCTATTGGTATACTAGTGAAAATGCTACAATCCGATTGGCTAGGCTACTCGTGTATTATCAGCAATTAGTGTGCAGTGGATGGAAGTCGTCGGCAAAATAGCGACGTTTCTCCGTTTTTGCGAAGTTGCAAAAGAACATTTAGATACAAATGAATAATTTAATTCCTGGGAAGACTAAAAGAAGCACCTTCACTGTTTCAAGACTGTAAAAAAAGAGAAACTGTTGAAAAAACTAATGAGCGCGCGTACATAACAGGAATTTCTGATCGACAATTCAGTCCGCGCGATTTTCGTAAAGGGTAAAGTTAAATACAATGTGCAAAAAGAATACAATTCGAAAAAGAATTTAACTAAGAATTCTACTAAAACAACTAGATTATTCGCTCTCGATTTTTATTTAAACAATTGAGTGTTTCTGTCGAGGAACTATCGGCTGATAGTTGCCCCGCGGATATTTAATGTTCTTAAAACAAATATTTGCCCGAGAAGTGAAGCTTCGGGGGCAAATATGCTAGTTTTACGAACATTAAATTTCAAAGGGGCAACTGTCAGACCGATAGTTCCTGGACATAAACACACTATTGTCTTTATTGTTCACCACTAAATTTTCGTCTGCGCGCCAGGTCAAAAATCATATTGAATTATTTTCAACTTTTTTAGATGAAAGCCGTTTACGTCAAATGTAAAATTTGAAAAAGAAAACAGACAAAAACGACAATTTCAATTGTTTATTTTCTATAAGCCGGCTCGTTTACAGAAAAATTTTCAAGACGACTACTATCCATCCGGTTATTTTCCTCGGACGGGCAGTATGGGCTGATAGTGTCTTTCCGCAGATGAACACTATCGCGTCACGTGATCAATTTAAACCAATAAGAATCGGAGAAAATTTAGTGGTGAACTATAAGAGGTGATAGCTGATTCGGCCTTCGGGGTCATCAGCTATCACCTCATAAAAATCTTGAGGTCATAATCTCATTGTTAAATAATAATGTTTCTACGGAAATAAAGTAAACATTTGTGCCAACTGAAGGACAAGCAAGAAGAGTACATAATTACGTGGAGAATCCTTTTCAAGGCAAAGTGTTACACAAACCTCACTAAGTGATGTAATTTGTGCACCACGAAAAATACTTTATAATATAGCCAAACCACACTTATAATGGCAGCCATGAACACGAACTCACATCAACATGCAAACATCAACGAAAGTACATTGTTAGAGCTGTATCTCGCGCAGGCAATTAACTTTATAATTATTGCACGAGCAACTTAGCGCGTGTAAATATCTATAACGGTTTATTGTGACAGTTTAACCCACGCGATCATATTGTTGAGGTAGACTTAAACTGATGCTTCAGCGTATGTGGAGATTAATTAACTGATGTGTGGGTCAACCTTGTGTTGGTCTACAAAACTGATTTGTACTAAAATCCATATTAGCCCAAACTGAGTAGTCCATCTACAGGCCGATAGTATGCCAGTTTTGGAAGAGCGAGAACAATGCTTTACCTCACGAACCATAGCATGATCACCATGGCAATGAGCATTTTCAAAACATGAAAAGATCCATGATGGCGGCCGATTACGCGGGGTAATATCGGGGTAAAAGTATTCGCTTTAATTTGGCCTTCATTTCGACTTTTCTATGCCTAATTATGGGAAAAGTCGTTATATACGGATAATAACCATTCTTGTGCTAGAATAATGAGCGTAACATGCCTGCACCTAGTGCTAATAACACTAGCAGTGTCGATGCTACTGCTATCATTCCATGCAAAGTTCACGCCGAAGATCTGCCAAATTGACGTCAATCGAGTGGCTTAAAGCGCTGGATTTGAAATCTGGTGGTCCCCGGTTCAAATCCTCCACCCTACCACTATCTGGATTTGTTCTCGGTAGCCCCGAGTTCAACTTCTCGGCCGCGTTGTGTAAATAGCCAACTGGTCAGCCTCCCACCAGTTGGGATTCTTAATAATTTGTGTTCTATTTGCAACAGTTGTTTGTTTACTTACAATGTCCTCAATTAGCACAACAGTGCTAAACAGATTTGACACTTAAATAAAGTTATTATTATTATTATCATACGTAATAAGAGAGTTGTTGTGTTCGCAGTAATTTTTGTTTCGTAAATATTCGGTTTTGTTTAGCCGGGCGAATATTCAAAAGTAAATGTGATGTAGTCTTTCCTAAAATCCACAAAGACTGCAAAACCAACATGATGTAGTCTTCGATTGTTGTAGATTTCCTTTCGGACTCTTTAAGTCTTATAGACGAACACTGATAAAAGCTTTCATTTCCTGAAAACATCAGTGATCTTGTTTTAAATGTGTCATGTTTGCTAATGTTTGGTAATAATAATCTAAAAAAAGTCTGAACTACTTTTCGTCGCCCCTAGATACTAATTAAATGTTAATTGCGTTTATTAGTGCAAAACTCAACATTTTTCTAAATTCCTTGGGCAAAAAATAAAATACTTGTGGACTTGGTCACACTCTACACCAGAAGATGTTTTGGAATAGTGTTAAAGGCTTCGAGGCATGGCTAGCCTGCGTATATATTAGTAGAACCAAGAACAGTAGTCTGCTTGTGATGTATCAAATGTGTCCCCATCAGTCAGTATCCTAATTTTCCTCAAAGTACAATTATTACAATTATCTCAGAGTATTGTTTTTGTTGTCATCTTAAAGCTTAAGTTGAAAAGGGGTTTGCGAAAAGATATACAGAAAGTTTGGACACTGGGATGTTTCCACGAAGGACATTTCTGTCCCCCTTCTTCACAAAATGCTAATTGCAAAGGTTTTCCAAAATTCGCCTGGCTCGTTTTGAGTGAGTGTTTCCTATATTTTGTTTGACTTCTCAAACAATTCAGTATGATGCCTCGCATTGTTGTGAATGTGTGCACTGCTTATTTGAGGGCTGAACTGCAACATTCCTGAGCCCTATATATACGCCGTTTAATCTGGGGCAGTGCTGATCATGAAATATGACAGTGCTAGATCTAGTAGCTGTGGTAGTCTCTTTAGACTGCTTACAAGTTAACTCAGTCGGAGAAGATGCTGATGAATGCAAGTAACAAGTAGGAATGGAAACAGTATCTTTCAGCAAGTCTGCTTCAGTTTGGTACAAAAGAGAAACCTCCTTAGAACTTACGGTTAGAACTATTGTTATGCTTGTCGCACAATTCTTTTTAGTTGACATGATCCTTGGGTGGAAGCGTCAGCTACCAATTGTAGCAAGTTTCGAATGCCAACAGGTTGTGATCTATAAGCTTAAATTCTGTTCAACTACGGAATGTTTAGACCTCTACAAGGAGTTCTGAAATTTGCATAGTTTCTTGTGCCAATTCCTCTCCTTTGATAGATTTCGCTATTAGCTTTAAACATACCAGCCGTTGCTTTATCGTCAGTCAGCTGTTACAAATCTTACAACTATTGCCAACGTCTGACTAAGTCCTGTTGTTCCATCAACTATCACAGAAACGTGATTTCCAGACATCTCTCCATTAGTTGTCTCTTCTTCAAGCTGCCCCATGTTGGGCGCAGAGGTCAGACGATAGTCTCCCTCTTCGTGTAATTTGCGGAAATCGTCCATCTTGTGAAGTGGAGCACCGGCCTTAACCCTCGGACGTACAAGTGGGGGAGAGGAGAGGGAAGGGGGGGATGGGGGGATGGGGGGGATGGATGCCACTCTCCTATGAGTCTTTTTCCCCCCAATTTTCGAAAGAACGAGGTATTTAACATTAAATTTCTTAGAGTGTCTACAGATCGATGACAATTCGTTTCTATGATTAAGCGTCGACATTTTCGGTCTACATATAATGAAGTATAAATAAAACTTACCATTTTTCAGTTCGCATCGTGAGCCACTGAATCCTCCTTGGCAGCTACAGCTAAATCCGTTGAGGCGGTCAATACAAGCACCTTATAAAATTAATTTAAATGCGTCGGATTCAAAATCTTAAGACTTGATAACCCTATTCAGCCTGGTGGACGGGGGTATAAAGTTCCCGCGATGTGTTCAACCTTTCAAATTTTTGACTTCAAACTTTGTTCCTTTTCCTAAAACATTACTAGGGAACAATTTTGCGTATTGCTTGTTTAGTCACGTGACTGGCATTTCTGTGGCAGCGATGTTTTCAAAGGGTGTTTTACCAAATTTGGTGTTTTTAAGTATAGATTTTTGCTTTAATGCGAATTTTGATTTTATGATGATTTTTTCCCATATTCTTTACATTACTTGAATCTCGATATATTTTGCTAAGTTTCAGAATCAATTTAGGAGTTGTTCTGACTTATTCGAAAACGTTTTGAAATTCAAGATTGCGGAGCGAAGATGGCACCCATTTTAAAAGGACATCACAGACACGTAGTAATCAATTTAGGACTCTTTAAACACTGTATAAGTTTGATTACTATTGAGTGAATTCTTAACAATAACTCCACGAAAGCGCCTTGGATATGAGATGATACTACTCATTGATAGCCAATGAGGCGAGTTGGATATGAGTTTGCTATAATCATCTCATAACCAACGAGCACGAGTGGAGTAATTGTCCAAAATATAGGAAACTAAACTAAAATAAAAATAAATCGCCCCAATAAACTACATGTACGCACATTTGAAGAGCATGGTATAATTAACAATTAGACCCGTAGCCCGCAAGGGCTACGGGTCAATAGCCCATTCGGCTTCGCCTCATGGGCTATTGACCCTAGTCGGACAGAAAAGACAATAATAAAGTTAGCAAATGCAAGTTGAAAAAATATTTATTTGGGAATAAAACGAAAGAAAGCGTCACGCTCGATTGCGCCGATTTCGCTACTCGAGGACTATTGCTAATAGTCCTCTAGTAGCGTAGTCAATTAAAATGCAGTATTTGCATTAGTCCACTGGTTGGGTGATACGAATAGCTCATGTATCATGATGGCTAAGCCACTTAAAATTCTTGAATTGGATAATCCAATGCAGCAGTTTTTAATACTTTTGGATATACAAGTGTCAGTTCGACGAAAATCGCCTCTCTTATTTTGGCTGTTTGTCCTCTTTTTTTGGCCGCAGTAGAATAATATTCTCTGGTGTAAAAATAGTTCTCATTAAACGCTCTTAACATCAGAGTTTCGAATTCTAAAGACAGGATATTTTCGTCCGCCATTGTTTCAAAAAGGTTCTAGGGGAGCCCGCAATGGACCATTTCGGCCATTTTGAATTCAATTGTTTCAAATAGCTTTTATGGGATGCTCAGGGGGCAAATTCGAAAAAGTCCATTGCGACGGGGAACTCGCATTAATACGACTTTAGCCATCGTTTTCCTTGTCAACAATCGAGTATTTTATATATGGTCTGGACTCAGGACTAGACATTTTTTCCTCTTACTATCAAATTTTCCATAGCTGAGACGAGGAACTAAGGATGGCTGATGTTTGTTATTAGGCTAATTTAGCAACAGGACGGGAAAGTCAGGTGTCGACTGCAGGGAGCGCGGAATAACCTTGATTCTGTTCTAATTTGACCATATTTGGATATTTGTACTGCGCGCGCCGTCGTCAAGTGACGTTCCCGTTCTCTCGCTAAATCAGCCTATTATTTGGTGGGAAACCCAGTGGTTCTATTTTCTGCTTTTATGTTCTGTGAATCACCAGATGGATTCCCCTGTTGTTTATGTTAATAAGGGAACAGCCCAAAGGCTACTGTACGCTGGGTCGAGTCAGCCTTACTTTAGGGGGTTGAATCCCCTCCCTCCCCTAGATCAGCCCTAGGCTTCCCGTGTTTATATCATGTGTAAACTATACCAGTTGTCCAAAGAGTGTGTCCACTGTTGATGAAATGTCCTAAGGCTAATTTGTACCTGCCATAAGTGGACATCATCTCTTACCGGTTTTCATGTGACGTTGTCACTTTCTAACATAAAATATTATCGATCGTTCCGAGGGCTTTTATCTCAGAGTTAAGACCCTTGCTCTAGGAACTTGACGTTTTACAAAGTTTCAGCTCGACAGGGTTCTTCGTCTCGTTATAGAGCTGTTCGAATTTTTCAAAAAAAAGTTTCTTCTCGACAGGGTTCTTCGTCTTGTAAAAGAGCCGTTTGAATTTTTGAAAAAAATGTATTAAGAGGGAATGTCCACTAACGTAGCGCCAGTCGTGGCACACGATGAAAAATTAAATTTTTTCATAATCCTCCCAGAGATAGCCTATGGTAAGCCTAGAAACGTGGTGAGATTTTTTTCTTGAAATTTTTTTTAAACCCGTCAAAAAATCAAAACTTCGTTACAGTCCCACATCTGGTCAAAAACACGCAAAATGTAGCGACTAATACTTTATCATAAACTTCGCTTTGTTCAATCTGCATCACAATAACATTCCAGTTTGAGCCTGGAGACTTATTACTGAGGGGTTTACAAGTCTTTTGAGGCCAATTATACTTCTGTGGGTTAATTTTCAAGGTCACTACGAGCCTCTTAAAATCACTAAAATTCGCTTCCTCAAAATTCTTAATTATGCACACTTTTTCAATCGGCAAATTCGCTCCCGGTAAAACACCGAAACACCTAAGATTCTGACATTTTAAAAGACGAAATGTCAGTGTAAAACCTGGTATAAAAATTATTTTTGGATTACTCCCCTCTATGGGCTATCAGAGGTATGTGCGGCCCCGAAGGGTATGGTTTTTTTTAGCTGTTTGTCTTAAAAAGGTGTAAAATTTGCCACATTGGACTAAAATAGGGTGTGTTTTTCACTATGGCTTGGCATTGAGTATTTTGCCGCTTACTAATTTTATAGGTCTGAAAATTGGGTATCGACAGGAGCCATAATCGGGGACGGAGACCCCAAGCGCACGCAATTTCTAGTATTGGGGTTGTCCCCATGATATGGGACAATAATTCTATTTTAAGAACAAATTGCGCCATCGCCTGAGGCACACGCGCGAGGATTTTTGCGGATGTCGCGCGGGGGAAATGGCGTCCGAAATTCCCGAAATTTTTCGTGTTTTTGGCCCACAACTCAACGCATTTACGTCTG